CCACGGCTGCACACAGGCTCCTAGCGCTCCGCAGCCACTGGGATAATGAGACACTCTGGTCACAAACAACTGCAAAGGGACGTGCAGGAATACTTCACTGATACATGCAGTAGGAGAGAGAGAGAGCAAGAGAAAGAGAGAGAGAGGAATGAGCTGGATTTATTTGGCTCCCGAGACAAACATCCAGCTTTCTTTATTCCATTCAAATGCAGCTTAGGATGGTGAATTGAGTTGCAGCAGCAGTTACGGGCAGCATGGCTTGGCGCATTATAACAGATAATGGCCGCGGAAGAGGTGTAGCTGCGATGCAGAGTTTAAACTCGTCAGCGGCGAGATGCAAATATCTCCTGCTATCTCGGGGAGCTTTCTCTCTGCCAGGGCGAGATGATGAAAGCCCGGGCGCAGTCAGGAGGATTAGTTTAGTCATCGACACGCGTGCACAGGATCTGGAGCACCCCATCTCCTGGGCGGACACGTCACCGCATGTGACGCACACATTCTTTTTCCGAGGCTTTACTGAATAAGCCGTGGATCTACTCTCGCACCTTTCTTTTCCATGCACTTGGTGACTGGGGATTTTTTTCCATAGTAGCCATGTTTTTTTTTCCTTTCACAGCTGCAGTTTAGAACATTACCTCTGCATCCCCCATAATTCTTTATCTATAAAGAGTCTGTCCAGGAGACAATCAAGCTATTTAAAAGGCTTGCAGAACAGTGACCGAACAAGCAGCGGTGTTGTGGGGGGACATTCTGGTCAAACAAGTCCAGCCATTTATAAGAATTCTCCCTTCTGCTTCCCCTCAGGTGCTGACCATTTTTGTGTACTTTTCTAACAGTTTGAACACAGGAATCACAATCACTTCTCATGGGGTTTGAGTTTGGAGGAGCTGAATTGCTCCTGTGTGTTTCTCAGTAGTTCATATTAAACTGAAGTCATGAATACTTTGTTGGACAAGAAGCTATTCAAAGATTTGCTGTTGAAGAAACGGGCTGCGGTGTTGATCTTTGTGTCACAATGTTTAGCTGTAATATTGCCAGTCAGAAAAGAGCAGTCTACTTTGTTTTGTTTTGTTACAGCGTGAAAGAGGTTGCTTCCTTTACAGAGCATACTAGTACGTTCTCCATAGTGCCCTGTCTGTCCTGAAGGAGAAGGTACAAATATAATATAGGCCAAATTTGGGTCTGCTACAGCTGAAACAATAGCAAAGCTCCACACAACAGCAGCACTGGAGTTAAAGCCTTCAGTTCAGCCTGCTATCGCTACTATTTATATATCCGTTGTCCAGTGCTGAGAGAGCGGAAGTTGATTGAAGAGGCGGGCCCTACGCAGGGCATTGGGTCACGGAAGGGCTGACATAAACCATGCTTTTTTTTGTTTAAAAAAAGTGTCTGCATGGAAAGTCAATGATTACGGGGCACCGCCAAAGACTGGGTGGAGAGAGGAGACAGGGATTGCATGTGGCTGAGAAAATGAAGTCCCTCGGAGGGAGGGAAGCTGTAATCGCCACGTGCTGTGAAGAGTGCAGAGGAGGGCCTGGCAGAGGTGGGCGCTGCAGTGTGGAGAGCTGGGACGGCCGAGCCTCTCACCCATCGCTGCTGCCGGGGCTGCTACTGAGTCAGAGTGCTGCATGAACGTCCCACACACATCCAGGACAAGACTGTTCCCTGAAGTGCGGCTGCAGATGGTTTTATTAGGCCAAAACCCCTCAGTGCGCGTTTTTGAAGTTTGAGGTTGGGTTCTGCTCTTTCCACTTCCTCTTTTTTGATTGGATCTGCTGGGTCACTCTGGTTCATGTGGACTGCCTCCAGGAAGTCCAGTGGCATTTCACCTCCACAGCCTTTTGCTTGTTAAAGTAAATGGTTGTAATAGGTTAAAGGGAGACCAGGGACGAGCCGCTGTGGGGTTCAAGCAAGCAGGCTGTCCTTTGTGTCTCCCAGACCGAGGTATTCAGCTAGCTAAGTATTTAGATTCAGCTAGCATATTTATTCATAATAGGTGTAATTATTTCATGCTGTTCCCACATCAGAATTGCTCAGTTTGATGGCTTGGGTGGGTCTGGAAGGCTGCTGACAGATTAGATGAAAGTGACTGATATCAAACCAAGCTGAGCGTTGAGAAAGAAAGAAGCCAGTTACGTGGTGACAGCAGTGGTGGTGTAGAGGACACTGTTAACTATAATGGGTGGAGACTGTATTTTTTCCCTCCATTAGTTGGTGTGGTGGAGGTGTCACACCCAGCTCATTTCTAGGCAGGGGCTCAAGCTGCTCAGCTTTCAGACTCAACCAAAAAAGGCTGTTTGTGTTCTCAGCATAGAGCACGTGGGGAAGGTTCTCATCTATGGACTTCATTATCCGCCCCTGTGATGACAGTCATGTGTCTCTAAATTAAATGTTGCTATCATGTACCATGTCATGCACGTGAATGGCACTTATCCAAACAACTGTCCGTATGCTAACACAGTGTAAGTGCAGTGCTTGGTGCACAGAGCGGGTTTAGTAATGGCTCGCAATGTAATCATTTACTTCCTTTGTTCTCTGAATGCTGTGTCTGTAAATGCGAAAGCATTAAGCAACAGGGTGTCATTGTTTTCCCACATTTACACTGCTTTCTGAGCCCTTATTATTGGTGTATGTTACTGCAGCTGGGGATTATTGGGCCATCATAATGTAAAGGTTGAGAACTCTGTATAGTGGAACTGATGACAGTAAAAAGGACTGCCACATCAGCTGATTTCAGTCTTTGATCCATTTGATCAGTTGTCTTTTTGCACAAGGGAAGTCAGTGCTATTTTTATGGTCCTTTCATTGAAATCACAAAAGGAACATGCATATTCCCCCTTTTAGGATGGCAGTGAATATTCTAGCTGAGCAGAGCATTCACAGGAGGGGGAAGTATTGCCCGCTTCAGGGGTTTCTGAAAAAAATATCACTGTTTGCATAGAAAATTTGCAAGGAAAAGACTGACCCTGAACTAAATTTCTTTAAATGCAAATTGACTTTAAAATCTCATTGCATTGGTGTATCGCCATTTATTTGTAAACCCTGTTTAAAGTGTAAACGCTAACAAAATGTGGCTTCATCTGGTAGGTATGTGCTGTGGGAAAAAAGTAATCTCTAAGCTTTAGACAATAATTGCCTATATTCTTAAGCTCTGTACTTGTTTGTCTAATATATCTTTGCCTATGCCAATCCTTGCCCCTGGCCCTGCGTTCTTAATACTAACACTGCATTTCCACAACAACATGGAGCAAATGCTATTGGCTAGCCCCCCTCAGCTACTTGTTCAAGTATGTCTGAGCTTGATGATCTTCATTGTAGTGTTCAGTGCTCCGCAGTTGTTTCTGATGTTAATTTCGGCTGGTTCAGGAGCTGATTTGGCCGTATAACACCCGGCCTGATATCAGCCAGTCCTCTTTGGCTACAAGGCCTGCATCTTCTTTTCCCTTGTAAGGAGTAACTCTGGTCAGGGGGAGCCATTTTGTAACTTCAGCACTGTGGAGTTGTCTCTTACCACTGCTGAGAGAATCTGGTAGCTGTTAATGGTAAAGGTCGGACGTGACTACTTTTCGTAAAGAATGTATGTTTCTACATTTGTGAAGCCTGGCCAGCCTCCAGTCTGAGATGGGTGTCCTGGTGTGTTGGAGGCCACAGAGCTAAGGGGGGGGTTGAGAGGAGCAGGGAGGTGTAGAGGGAGACATTGTGGCACAAGACCTCTGCTGGTTAGATCTGCGCAGAGAGAGGGAGGGTGCAAAGAAAATTTGAATTTCCATGAATTATGTTGTAAGACCATTCACTTCATAAGGATATCAGGGAGTTTGTGATGGGAATGTTTTATTTATGCCATCACACCTTAGAGTTAATATAGGGTCACAGTCACAGTCACTGATGCATTCATCCTCCTCCAGTGAAGCGCTAAAATCAGGTGTTTGTTTTTCTCTTACTAACTAAGCCTGATGTGAGATTGAGAAAACCTGAGAAATTCAGTTTCATACAGGATGGAATCGGAAGTGTTCACAGGTGGACAAACTGTGAACGCTTTCAGACTTCTGAGAACCGCATGTGCTCAGTGCTTTGTGACAGTATGTTCTTTTTGGAAGTGTGCACATAACAGCGGCGAGTGAAGTCAGCGGGGTTATAAGGGAACCAGATGCACTCTACTATGCAGTAAAATCTTTCACACACTGGAACTGATGAAATAGCACAAGTGAGTCTGACACCATCATGTGACATGCAGGAACAGGCTCTGAGGGAGCCCTGACCTTTGAGATGTTCTTTCCTGTGATAGTGTTTGTGGTTCCACAAAGGTTCCGGTTTACATGTAAATATTCATAGCTCAGCTGGACTGTTCTGCCCTTCGTTCATAGTGTTCTCCTGTTTACAGAGGAGGGGCCTGACCAGGGATGATGATCAGTGGCATGATGTGAATGAATACAAGTGACATGGCTGATATGAGTGGAGTCACTGTGTGCACAGTTAGTAGACCTTATACGGAGAGGATCTTGGTGGTTGTGGATCTGAGGTGACCAAGCGGTTGTTGTCTATAGGCACCACGGCCAACACCCATCACTCATCACCAAGGATCTTAGGAATCCTTTCATTATGGGGGAAAAAAGAAAAGCATTGATTTTCCTATCTCCTGTTTCCCTTTTTCAATGGTAAAATGAAGAATAACTCATATAAGAGACTATTGCTTTTAAACCTTACCCATAGCACGTAGGCTTGTAATCAAGTTAAGACTTATTGCAAGAGTGCGCTACCAATTTTCTGCTGCAAATTCCAATAACATTGCGCTGTTACTCCAAAATAAGACACAAAAATAAACTCAGAGGCAGGCAGAAAAAAGTTGCTCTATAAGCAACTTTGTTACATTTTCCCTCCATAGTTGTCCAGGGACAGTATTTTGAGAGTGCAGGTGTAGGCAGGCCAGTCCACGTGGAGCAACCAAGTGACTCCTTCCAAACTGGGGAAGCAGAAGAGTAGTAGAGAATGAGTTGAAAGGCAGCAGTGTACCATAGTGGTATGGAGTGGGGCTTCTAACCAGAAGGTTGCTGGTTCGATTCCCTGCTGGGGCACTGCTGTTGTACCCTTGGGAAAGTTACTTAACCCACAGTTGCCTCAGTAAATGTCCAGCTGTATAAATGGATAAATTGTCCCTCTGGATAAGAGCATCTGCAAAATGACAATAATATAATGAAATGAGAAAAGGATGGCTATAAAGAGGCTTTCATCAGTGTGCATTTTGCTGCACAGGGAAGCTTGCCTTGGGCAGTTTTAGATGGCCATTGGTTATATCCATCTCCATCAGAGAGACTTTTTTGCCATTTGTTGCAGTTTCTATGATCATGTTTGTACAACATAAGGAAGCATCTTACTCCACAATAATCAGTTACACAACACTTTAATTCAGTGTATATGGAGAAACAATGCTGGCACCATAGGGTGCACTTGGTTACCTAAAATGGAATCATATTACTTGGCTATAATTCTCCCATGCAGAGTAATAATTGGACCCAATGATTCCCATGGCTGCACATAATATCAGATATCCATCACCAAGTTTAACATTAGTGAACAGGCTGTGTGGGCTGAAGGCTTCCTTTGGAATTCTCCAAACATAAAAAAAGAGTAAAAGATCAGACCGTATTACTTTCTTTCACTGCTCAGAAGTCCACGGTTTTCGTTACGCCAGGTTATGCATTTTTACACATTGGCCTTGGTTACAGGTGGTTTCCAAATAGCAGCCTCACCATGATTATCAGCTTTGTGAAGCTCACGATGTACAGTTTTTGTTGAGACTGGGCCACAGAGCTGTACATACAGTTCTGAAATCATTTTTGAGGTTGTTTTGTGGTTTTTAGCAGCAATCCTGTTAAGGGTCCCTGTCAGTGAGCTTTGACTTGCAACCACTGTTCCTCTTTCTTGATTCAGCTTTTCCTTGTTTGCTGTATGCTGTCACTGTTCCCCTTGACACATTAGAAGGATTTTGCAGTTTCTGTGACTGTACCTGCTGTTCAGACACCAACTATTTGGCCTCTTTCAAAAGTTCTCAGGCTGCTTTAAAAACTCACATCTCAAAACACTGATTTTTAAATGTCTTTCATAGCAGGAATATATTAGTAATTAGTATTTACAGTAATGTGAGACATCTGTAGATGTTTTAAATTCTGATTTAGTTACTTCAAAATATGGGTTTTTCATGTGCTGTTTCTGTTATTTCGTCTACTCCCTGTAAGCTGCCAGTGTCGTAAATATACATCTGACAAACCATAGTTGGCTAGCATCTGCTTTAGGATTAAATTAAATACATTTTAATTTGCTGTTTTACTCAAAGAAAACAGAAAAAAATTCATGTATTTTTAAAGAGTGACTTTCAGTATTTTAAATTCTTACCAGTGTCAACTGCCATCAGTTTTTATGGTGGTGTTTCAGCATGATTGATTTTTTTTTTTTTTGTTTGTTTTTTTGTTCATAGCCAAGTTACTTCCCAAGACCCATTTTATTATGTAAACATAATCCTGCTGAAGCCTAATTTGGTATTGTAATGTTTTAAGGACATTCACTTTATATGCGCAGATTTTTTTTTCCCAAGCAATTGAATCTGAACTCAATTGAGTATGCTGCGTTGATCTCATTGACTTTTTTGATCGCTGTGGGTAGTGATTTTAATCATAGACAATTCACAGTTTAATGGTCTTTATTTAGATATATTCAGTTCTGCATTTCACAGGATGTAAAATGTGTGACATTTGACTTTGTGTGAAGTTACTTCAATTCGTGTTCAGTTTGTATTCCAAGCCAGCTCAGCTCTAGCTCAGCTGTGGATATATACAGTGAACTCAAAAAACTGTACCCCGTGGTCAGACCCACAATTTATCAAATACTGAATTTACTTAGAAATCAATGGCTCATCAGCACTGTTGGACTTCTCACTTCTCTGCCGCTCTTGCTGTCTGGCCGCTTTTGCTGCAGAACTCCTCTTTGGGTGATGTGGGTTCCTCGTAAATCTCAATTTATTTGTTGAGTGTGTTTTAAAATGTAGTGGAGCTGCAGTACATGAGTGCAGCCCCTTTGTTGCATGGTAACTGTGATTTATATTTGAGTCTGTCTGTGTTTACTTGGGGGGTCTGTAACCTTGAGGCAGTCTCTCTCATGGTTAATGACTCCCAGGAACAGATGAAAAAGCGGAGGGGGTTACAGGCTAAATTCATTCAGTGTTTTATTTTGCTGCAGCAAATATTGCAACATGCTGCCAAAACTCGACTGGTTTGACAGAAAAAAAGCTAGCAGATGGATTGTTTTTTAAAACCTGCAACAGCTTTGTCAAAGTTGAGACTTTGTCCAACACTTACTTACAGTCATGAGTGACAAGGGCTCAAGGACCAGAAGTTGGTATGTGAAACACCTGTACTTTCAATAATTTGATACGTGTTCCATTCATCCTCAGTAGTCTATAGTGCAAAGCTGCTGCGAGATGGAGGGATGTTTCGAGATGATGCAACATAGTTGTGTCAACAGCCCCACCCCCCACCAGCCTGAGATAGCCCAATGAGCTCTACAGCGTCTGACACCAAACTTGACTGTACAGTTTACTTTAGGTGCTTGGGAGACCACAGGGGAGTTTGGCCCACTCTCTAGATAAGCTTGTTATACCCTGAGATGTTCTTTATTTGTCTGATAAATGCAAATCTCATTCCTTTAAAAAAAAAAGAAAATAAACAGAAGAGAAGTGTTTGCTGTAATCTCTGAAGTATTTCTCGGGGTCAGAGAACTTGTGTTGTTGGAAATGAGGGGAACCACCTGGCACAGAGCTCAGAGCTGGAGTGCTCCCAGGCCAAGAAGAGAAGTGGAGACTGCTGGACTTGGGAGTCCTCTCTGCCTCTGTGATCCCCAAGCAAGATTTCCCATTGCCGTAACAGCTGATCTCCCCAGTACAAAGCAGTACATTCTGCTGAGAAATAATGTTACACACAGTGCATGCGTGTGTTTGTTTGTTTTTTTCCCTTTTTTGCCAGCTCAGGCCCTTGCGACCATAATCATGCTTTAGCCTCTTTGGTCTATAAATCTGCCACAGTACTTTCACTCACTCCCATTGTGCAGTGCTGCTTTGGCCAATGGTGAAGCCGGTTCAGAAGTGCCGTACTAGTTGGTTCAGCACTGATAACACATTGTGTGGCCATGCTCATTGGATACACAAGTCATATCTCTCATCTCAGGAGTCAAAAAATAAAAGGTTGTAGTTACACATTACAGATTACGTGATTGTTAAATGCTTTGTTGTGAATGTTTGCCAACATTTGTCTCCCTGTCTGCTCACTTTCGTAAGCCGGCTCTCTTCGTAGCGGAAAAAGTAACCGCGGTGTCCGTGTTATGCTCTCTGCAGTTTGTGGGAGATGAGAAGAGGGTGGACAGCAGGACGATCCATGTGGGACACCAGCCCTGTCCAGCCACAGACGCCTTCATCCAGCCTAAATTCTGTGACAACAGGATTGTCTCCTCCAAGGTAGGGCCTCAGCTCTTCCTTTACTGGGTAGCAGTCTGCAGTTCTGGCACCCCGTGGATTAGAAGAGAGTTGCCAGACTGTCTTATGACATATGTGCTACAAGTAGTCGTTTGGATGGGCAGTCAAGTCGGCTGCTGGTAATTGAAGGTTACCAAAAAGACTTGTGGGGAATCTGGTCTCAGAGGAGGGAAATGGCCCACCCCTTTTTACCACTGGGGTGTGACACAACCTCACCCTGCCACTTTAACAGGCCTCTCAAATTCTTTCAAATTTCTCTCTTCCCCTCTCATCTCTCTGTCCTTCTTTTTCTTTCGCTTATCCCTCTCTCTCTTTGTTCCTACTATTTTCTTTCCTTGTTGCTCTCCACCTTCCTCTTCTGTTGGTGGAGGACAGAGCGTCTGCCAGAGAGCATGCCACCGTGCTGGTGAAATTTACAGGAGTTGCCATTAACATGCTGCCAAAGAGGTGATTAAGTCTGTTCCACAGGGCTTGCTTAAATCTGTCTGCCCCTACAACAACAGAGAAGGGGTGTAGAGATTATTTAGGGGAGGGGAGGAGGGGGATGGTAGTGGTGGAGGGAATTTATAGTGTTGCCGTGGGTCCCGCTGCTGATCGTCCAATTGATTCCTCTCCAGGATGACAGCGTAAACACACTTTAATTACCCTCGCCAGCCTCCTCGTTGTATAGCCTCCTTAAAGCCTCTGCTGGAGTTCTCACTGCAGTATTTACACTTCTCTCTGCGTCTACTGTCAATCACCCTGCTCCTCCCCCCTCCCTCTCGGATGAGTCTCCGTTCTCTCTTTCTCTGCCCGTGTCGTTTTCCACACTCTCCTCCTCTCTGTTTGATTCATTTTGCTGAATTGGCTCGACTAACACAGGTGTTGCCACAGCATGTGCACGATGATGAAATGGAACAATAATACAATAATGCACACAGACAATAATAATGCCAGTCATCTACAATAATGAGAATTGTGAACCTAAAATAAAAGAATGAGGGAATGTATTTGAGATTGAAGCTGTATTTTTGAGAAGTACGTTGCTCTTCATTTTTTCAAATTTTGAGATAAAATGTTCCGTCTCAATCTCTTGTTGACTGCAGTGTGAGCACAGCCTGTCTTCTGTTGGTAGCAAGGCCTGCCTGCCTTGGCTTGTGTATTGTCTCAGCTGTGTTCACTCAGACCTGTATATTATGAAGGCCATGAATGTCTCTTTCATCAGACACAATGGTCAGGTAGTCTGTTCATGATATACTCTCCTGTGTCAAAAGCGTTGCAGTTAACTTCCGGTTGTGTCATCATTGGGTTAAGTGTAGAAATAGAACAGTCTGGGTCCTATTTAAGACACTCTTAGACCACGAGTACAGGAAGAATGCTAGCATTGCAATGTTGTTAGTCATTGATGCTCCATTCATAACACTGACAAATGCTGGAAAAATTCCATCACATAGCAGGCTCTTTTCACATACCAAGTGGCATTGCGCTAAGTGGATGTCAGATTATTTCAAAGGAATGTTTAATTTTCACATATTTCTAGTTACTGCTTCTTTTCTATTTTATAAATTGTGCTGTTTATCA